TCCTCCTCTCCCTTTCCTCCTCCTCGTCTTCCTCTCTTCCCCTGCTCTCTTTCTTCACTGGCACTCAGGGCAGAGTGACATTCCCAGGAGCCGATCAGCAGAAGCAAGGTTCCCTCCCAGTTACTCACAGCCAGGCAGTGCCTCGTCCCTGCAAATGCCCCTGCTCTGGGATGTCCCTGGCTGCTGCTGCTGGATGCTGGGGATGTGCTGGATGGCAGGATACTCGAGATGCCAGGGATGGCAGGATGTTACGGATTCTCTGACGCTCTGGATGCGCTGGACCAGGGAATAATAAGACCCTGGAATGCTCTGGATACTCCAGGTGCTCTGCACTCAGGATACTTCAGAGGCTGGGGATGCTCTGGATCCCAGGATACTCCAGATGCCAGGGATGCTCTGTACCCAGGATACCCTGGATGTTGGGGATGATCTGGGCTCCAGGATGCCCCAGATGCTGGGGATGCTCCAGCCCCCCGAGGCTCAGCTCTTACCCTCCCAGCTGGGCTTGGCTCCCTGCAGAGCTCTCTCCCCGGGGCCCCCGTAGGTTCTCCGTGCCCGGGCGCTGCTGCTGCTGCAGCCAGAGCCGGCGAGAGGAGGCAGAGCAGCTTGAAGCGAGGACCGGGATGCTCCCAGCCCAGCTCGCTCGGCAGGAGGAAGATCGGAAGGGTTCTCTCCCGCGGCAGAGGTGCGTCCAGCCTGCAGGGTGTGTGTGTGAGTGTGTGTGAGTGTGTGCAGGTGCCAGCCAGACTTTCACCTGCTGCTCTGCAATGCACAGGAAAGGATGCAGAAATGCTGATTCCAAGGAGGTGGGGCTGGAGGGGGAGAGGAGGAGATGAAATGAAACGCTAATTAAAACAGGGATCTGGGCTAAACTACACAAAGTACCAGCCAGACAATTCTCTTTTTTGCCTTAAAGAAACAGCCCCATTCTCTGCTTTCCCTGCCATCCCTGCCATTCCTGCCATCCTACCATCTGTGCCAGGACTGGAGCCCCCATGTTCACCTGGCAGCTAGGCCAGCAGGTCAGTAGCCAAGCCCAAGTGCCAGGATCCATCCTCTGCTTGGTCACCAGCTCCTAGTGCCAGGCTCCATCCTCCACATTGGGTAATAAAAAGCAAAATTTTGCAAAACCAAATAAAAAAAAAATCAACAAAACCTGCACATGAGCCCTCAGGAAGCAAGTAGAGGCATCACAAGACTGGCTGATATTCCCACAATCTGCAGCCAGGGATGGAGGGGCAGAGCCAAGGGGAAAGGCTGCACTGGTGCTGGGACAGCTAGAGGGCTGGCCCCTCTACTTCAGCGTTTTTTGGGCTGACCTTGGGTAGCCCAGATCCTTGTCTGAGGGACAATCCTGCATGCACCTACGGCAACTTGCCCTTTGGCAAGTGGAAGGCAACGTGTGAGAGGACCCAGTGGAGCCTGGTGGCTCCAGATCAGGAAACACCCCTGAGTCTCCAAGTGCCATTAGTGTCCTGTGCTACCACCTCCACACATCAGAGCCAACTCCTTGGGATGCTGGGAAGGGATTAATTGGGTTTTTTTCATTACCCAGCTGCCCAAAGGTGGGTTTTTCCCAACAAATGGCTGTGATTTCTGTTGGGGGTTGACCAGAGCTGAGGGCACTGGCTCCAGCACAAACCAGAGGCATATGTGTGTCTCTGCTGGGCCCCTGGCACCCACCCCTGTGCTCACAGGGCCAGGCACTGCCAGCTGCTGCCCTCCCCAAGACACCACCAAAGCTTTCCTTAACATGCTTCCCTTGGGAAGTTGTGCTGCAGATGTGTGGGGAGTGTCAGCTGTGCATCACACACACCCCATCACCTCATCCCACTGCACCCCAGTGCTGTCTGTGCTGCCCCGTCACCCACTCAAGGACAGAAGTCAATCTCTTTAGCAAGTCCTACTTTTCTAATCACCTTTTCAACAACTTTGTCATGTTTTTCCCAGTGGCTGAACGAGCATTTCAGGAAACCACCTCTGAGCAAAGGATGGGGGAGATGCAAGGCAGGGCTCACCCTGCACAGAGACAAAGCCCATACACACCCCGTGCCAAAGTGCTCTCTGAGAAACAGTTGCTGTCACTGGTACCAAGAAAAGCTCTGCTCTCCTTCTGTTTGCCCAGGACCCTCTCCTTGAATGCTCCCAGCCAAACCTCCCCAGCCACCTCTGCATTCCTGTGTCCTGGCAGGGATCCCAGGGCAGAGCAGCACACGCAACACTCTGATCGCAGCAGGAGGTTTCTTTGGAAAAGCATTTGCGCCAGGAAACCCTCACTTCCTCAGCCCATCTGTTGCTGGGAGAAGAGAGAAACCCCACCCTGAGCCCACCCTGCAGCAGCATCCCCAGGCAGGATAAGTGAAGGCAGCAGGACAGATTTATCCCAGCTGGATCCATGCTGGTGCTCAGCGAGGAAGTGATGCCAGAGGGCAAGTCCAGGCTTCCTTCTCAGCCTGGCTGCACCCCGACTTTAGGAGCATTTCAGTTATCCTCCAGAGCTTTTGCTTCTGAGAAGGGGATTGGAATCACAGAATGGTTTGGGTTGGAAGGGACCTTAAAGCCCATCCCATTCCATGGGCAGGTACACCTTTCACTACACCAGGTTGTTCCGAGTCCTGTCCAACCTGGCCTTGGACACTCCAAGGGATGGGGCAACCACAGCTTCTCAAGGCAACCTGTGCCTAACCTTTCAGGAGTGTTTCCTCCTCAAGTGGGAGGTTTTCTACTCCTGGTTTGGATGTGCTTGCTGGGGAAGTGAATCTGAACTCATCGAAGCAAAATGGTTTTTTAAAAACCTGCCTTGAAATGAGGTTCAAATCCTACCATTATCCCTGCAAAAGCTTCTCCACCCCAGCGGCTCTCCTGGCCTGTCTGCGCTCTCTCCCTGTGCTACATTTCCAGACACATCTGCAGGGATCATGGCTTCCACCGGCTCTGCTCTCCAGTACCACCAGCAGGGAAAGCAAAACCAGACACCCAAGTGTCAACATGGCAAAACACAAAGGGCTGGTGAGACAAAGAGAATCAAACTGGGATGCTGAGAGACGTCAGCAAGGACATCCAGGCAGTCCAGGGATTAATGCAGCAGCCTCATTCCATCCTTTAACTGGGATGGTCCCTAAGTTTGATTTTGGGCAGAGCCTGGCTAACTACCTTGAAAAGATTTGTATTTTCGTCTGCACAACAGTCCATCACTGCCTACCTTTGCTGAAGCTCAGCTTGTGTTGAAAGGAGGTGGAGACATCCCATTTCAAACACCTTGGACTGCAGCTCCTGGAGTTTACAGGAACAGCCCCCTGCTAAATCCAGCCTGTTTCCACTGTACACTAGTAAAAGGCCACATGATGGTGCTCAGTGACCACCACGGGTTTCTCCACCTCTTCCTGGCTCTTCCTTGGGAAGACACTTCACAGCATGAAAACATTATGTTAACACACAGGACACCTCCAGCCCTGCCAGGTCCTTCCTGTTTAGCCTGTCCCTGTAGCATTTGCCGCCTTAACGCAAACCCTCTCCCACTTCCCAAAGTTCAGAGAGCTGCTTTCCAAACCTGTGCAGAGCCCCCAGAGCCTCAACAAGAGGGGCAATAAGAGCTGGACTCAAGGAGGGAGGAAATAAGAGCTGCACTCAAAGAGAGGCAATAAGAGCTGGCTGCTGGCACAGCACAGCCTCTGGCCCCTCCAGGAGATGATGAGACCTTCCCCAAGGTCATACTCAGACTAGGGAGCATCACTGATTGTTTCTGAGGGCACATCCACACTGGCCTGGCATCAGTGGGACCAGAGGTTTGCAAGGGTGCTCAGGGAATGCTTGATCCAAACCCCTTTGGGAAAGAGCCCACTGGTTTCAGCCAAGGCACCCAGCCCTTCCTCACCCACAGAGGGATGTCCAGCCCATGTCCAAGTTCTCCTTCCCCTGCTCCAGAAGAGCTCCCCGAGGCCCTGAACGCCTGGATGAAACACGCTGGATCAAGACTGTCACCTAGTGGCAACAGAGCTGGTGAAGGTCGTGTGATCCCACAGATCCCACACACTTCCCACACAAGTGGGACCCGACAGCCTGAAAACCTCCCGGCTGCAGCAACACCGCGCCTGGGCCACAGCTGACGTGCAGCTCCCCATGCCCACATGCACAACACATGCTGAAGATTTGGGGTCAGTTTTCCTTTCAGCAGCTCTCCCTCCTCCTCCCAAATGGAATGCAGCAGAAAGCTGCAGGAGCCATGGTTCTGCCCTGGCCTGGCCCCTCCTGTCTGTCCTGGCTGATGTCCTGGTGTCAGCACTGCCAAAAACCAGACAGGCATCAGAGCACTGAGCAGTGGAAGTCAGAACTAATTTATTTAAGAAAAAAAAACAAAACCAAAACAAAATTCATCAAAGGGGGGGGGGAGAGGCATCAGTTACAAGCTCTGGAAGCTCTTGTCAGGACAGCGCAAAGAATCAGCAATTATACAACAGAGAGAGAGGGGCAGCAGGAGGGGCACAGGGCCCACCCTGAGCCTCCCCAGCCCTGCCAGCACAGGGACATCCCGGCCCTTGGGCCCCCTTCTCCCTCCATCACCGTTAAAAGTGCAGCAGGGAGAGGGGGTACAGGGCTGGCTCCTACCCAAACTCCCACTGGTTCTTGGCTTTCCCCTGCAGCCATGAAATGTGAAGCCTCAGCACTCATGGCATGATCCAGGTCCCTCATCCCCAAGGAGCCATGTGGTGGCCCTGGCTGTCACCACCACAGTACCCAGTCGCCTCCCACACACAGCCCCAGAGGCACATCCTGGGGCAAAACACTCCCCAAGAGCTGCCTGATACAAAGTGTTAGGGTTAGATTAGTCCAGATCCAGCAGGTGCCAGGAGGAACAGCGTGTCCATGCTGAGCCTACGTGTCAGGGAGGGAGGAGGAAGAAGGGATGCTGCTGGTCCCAGCACCCCAGGAGAGATGTGCATCTCCTGTGGGACTGTGGAGAGGCTGCGTCCCTTTTTCCTCCACCCTAGGCAGGAGCCATTAGAAGAGAAAACCCTAGAAGGGCTCCACACAGTTTTGGAACCTGTGGACAGCCCTGGGAGCCCCACTCAGCTCCTGCTCTCAGCCAAACCGCCCCATCCACACTCCCGCTCCTCTCAATATATTATTACTATGATGTGCAAGTAGTTTTGCATCAGAAAACACTGAGCTCTCGTCCCACTCAGCAGCTCCAGCCCTGCCTGTGCCTTGAAACATTCTTCCAGTGCCGGGGTGTCGGGGAGCAAAGCGTGAGGGCAGCAATTAGACAGGAAAGACTCCACCCACCCCCCCTCCCCAAACCCTCTCCCTCTCACACCCCCCTGCCAGGACAGTCCGCACAGGCCGGGTCACTCCTCGCCCTCCTCCTCATGGTGGTGGTGGCTGGAGGCAGGAGGTTCCTCCACCTCCTGCTGGTGGTGGGTGTAGTGGTGGGGGCCAGGACCCTCGCCAGGCATATTCTCCTCAGCGTTCAGGTAGACGTTAAACAGGGCTCCCTCGTGGCTTGGCTCCTTCCCACATGCCTGGCAGCTGCAGTGCAGGATCTTCTCCACCAGCTTGTCCACCCTGGGGATCTCCTCATTTCCCGGACAGTCCAGTGTCACCTGGGCAGCGGGACAAGGACACAGTGAGTGTGGAGGATCCCGTCCTGAGGAGGGAGGTCTGACCTGCCCCATGCCCTGAAGATTTGGGGTGTTTTAAGCCAGAAGTGATGGGTGTCTATCCATAGAAACCAAACCTCCCTGTCAGTCTGCAAGGTGAGAGTTGTCTGGGAACATCTCACAAGCTCCAGAGACCCAAGGAAAATCACAGAACCATGAAGGCTGGAAGAGACCCTCAAGATCAACAAGTCCTACCGTTAACCCAGCACTACCATAATCACTCCTAAATCACAGAATCATAGAATCACAGAATTATTTAGGTTGGAAGAGACCTCCAAGACCATCAAGTCCAATCTATGACTGATCTCCACCTTGTCAACTAGACCAGAGCATTCAGTGCCACAGTGTCCTAGTTAAAGGGGCTGGGACCAGTTTATCACTATGTGGGTATAACCAAAACTGTGCATTCTACCCCCTCTCTGTCATTTCTGATGGACTATTAATAAATGGACTGTTTGCAGCAGTTGCCCAGGGCCCACCTGACACCTCAGGCTACAAGCTGGGTGTTAAAGAAACTCTGCAAGGCAGGGGAGTGTTCTTTTGTTTGCACACCAATGACTCGGCTGTGATAACTTCCCTCCAGAAAGGCATTAACACCTTCACACCCAGCCTGAGGGGTCATCTCTGCTAATGGGCCACCTTGGACTGGCAGAACAGGCAGCTGCAACACCCAGACCATCAAAGATTCCAAAAATATCTCATGACTCACAAAGATAAATCACCCATTGTAAAACTCCTTGCCTTAGGGGAGGCACTGGGCATTCCCACCTGAACCTGAGCACATATAATCTTGGGGTTTTGGGACTTCTGATGTCACTCCTCGGATCCAGAGGAGGACCAGAACTTCAACAGGACTGCAATCATCATCTGGACCAACAGGTTTCCTTTCCTTTTACTTTGCCCCCAGGGGACCACGTGGTGCTCAGCACAGGAGTGGACGAACACCAGACACCCTGCTGTTCCTGTCCCGGGGTGCAGGGTTATACATCTGTCTTTGTGGGTTAAAATACAGTTTTAAGATACATTTTTCTCTGTATCACTGCATTTATTGTAATTTTTTTTAGTAAATTGTAACTCTGACTTGTAATCTCTCAAGTTGGTTTAATTTCTTCTGTCAGTTTACTTTTAAACTAGCACACTGTCCTAGTTAGAGCAGCCAGGACCAGTTCATCACTGTGTGGGTGTAACCCAAACTGTGTATTCTACACCCTCTATGTCATTTCCCAGGAACTGTTAATAATAGACCATTTGCAGCAGCTGCCCAGAGCACATCTGACCCCTCAGGCTATAAGCTGGGTGTTAAGAAGCCTGTGAGATAGGAGGATGTTCCTATCCTCACGCCAATGACTCAGGTGTGATGACTCCCCTCTGGGGAGTCACCAGCACCTCCACACCCAGCCTGAGGGGTCGTGTCTGCTAACGGGCCACCAAGGATTCCAAAAATATCTCACGACTCACAATCACCCATTGTGGAACTCCCCGCCCTGGGAGAGGCACTGGGAATTCCCACTGGAACCTGAGTGTATATAATCTTGGGGTCTTGGGACTTCTGGGCTCACTCGTCGGATCCAGAGGAGGACCAGAACCTCGACCGGACTGCGACCAGCACTCTCACCAACAGGTTTTCCTCTCCTTTTACTTCAGACTCAGGGGGACCACGTGGGGCTCAGCACGGGGGCCAGTGAACACTATTCTGTTTGTGCCCCAGAATGCTGGGTTATACGTCTGGGTTTTGTGGGTTAAAACCAATTGTTTGTCCATATAATAGTATTTATCATATTATTGTTATTAAATTGTAACTCTGACTTATAATCTCTTTTGAGTTGGGTTCATTTCTCCTGCTGGTTTACCTTTAAACCAGCACACACACACATCTAGTCATTTCTTGAATGCTTCCAGAGACAATGACTCCACAGCCTCCCCAAGGAACGTATTCCAATGTCTGACCACTCTCTCTAATTTTTTTCTATTACCTAATCTGGACCTCCCCTGGTGCAACTTAGGGCCATTTCCTCTCATCTTTTCACTTGAGATGTGGCAGAAGAGACCAACCCCCACCTCACTCCAACTTCCTTTCATCCCCAGCTCCAGCTAGACAACTCTCCCGGCACCACTGGCACAGGAATATCGGTGTGCTGGCAAAGGCCACCCACACAACAGCTCAGGTAGTTTAGACTAAAGCCTCTGATCAAATGGGAGCTGAAGGCAAAGCAGAGAGCTGAGCCCAGCTCCCTGGGGCCTAAGCTTCCCTTGGAAGAGGGTTTATGGCTCTGCCGGGGTCAATGGTAGCAGGAAACTGTGAGGTCTGAGGGTGACTGACCATGGGGAGGCACTTCTGGACATCAAACAGGGCAAAAACTCCCAAGAGGGAACAGGCAAAGGGAGCGGTGGAGAGAACAGACACGTGGGATGAGTACAGGGATGAATAATGCAGGGAATGACAGGAGATGGCTCTGCAAACGGAGGGATAAAGGCATCATTCAGCACAGCAGTCACATTGCTTCCAGCAGCTTCTTCCACTCAGGCATCTCAAGACAGGGCACAGTCACCTGGGAGACACCCTGGAAAGAAACTACAAGCGGGAAAACCTCAGGGAAGGAGAACGACTTGCTGTAAAGTGGTGGCAGAGCAGAGCTCCCGAGTGAGGCCCCCTGGAGCAGGCAGGGATACTCACAATTTCCCACATGGACTGGGCTGGCATGCAGGAGTCGCAGTGAACCAGGGACTCTGTGGACTGGGGGAAGGTGTTGGGGACACTGTAGCTGAAACACTGTCCCAGGCAGGCCCTGCAAAGACAACAGGAGGGATGGGGGCTCAAGGAAGGTGCCTGCTTTTCCCAGCAAAGGTAGAAGGAGATCTGGCCTTCCACTGGGACAGGTAGAGGCAGGAGTGTGCGAGTGACGGTCCCCAAAGCCACTTCTGTGCCATTAGCTGCCTCCAGCCCTGTGCTGAGGGGGATCTGTACCTGTTCTGGATGGATTTGGACTCGCAGCCACTGTGCCCCACAATCTGGGTGATGTTCTTGGCCTCACACCAGGCGCTCTTGTCCGGGAAGAGGGCGAGCTTGTTGATGGGCGGGGGAGCGGCCAGAAGCACTGGGAAGAGAGCACCCACCACGAACCATAACATCATGGCCAGCTCTGCCAAAATCCTACACCTGCACACAGAGAGCAAAGCATTAGCAGGAAAAAAAACAGGCAAACCAGCTGAGTTCTCCAACCCCATGGAAGTTCTTGGTTGAGACAAGCTCAGGTACATCCTCCCTGCTGTGGCCAGGATGGCTCCCCAAAACACTGCCTGGGGAGTGGGACGTGCTGCTCTGCCTCTTCCCCTTTCAAAACAGCTCTGGGGCAGGGAGATACCTGCGTTACCTCTCCCAATCTCTGTGCCAGGAGCAACAGCAGTTTTTCCTCATTTGCCACCCAAAGCTGGGCTGGGAGAAGTTTGCAAACGAAAACATCACCGCCACAGGCCAAGCCAGGCTGGAGAAGTCCTAGACCACAGAAATGTTATTATTTGAGGAAGGAACAAGCTTCCCCACTTCCTTTTCTCCCACCTTAAAAGCCAAAGCTGGCCTCACTGCAAGCCTTCCCGGGGAAAAAGGGAAGGAAAACCTCTCTCATCCTGGAATTGTGCAGCAGGTGTCGCTGCAAGGCAGTAGCACACAGGGACATGTGGAATCCTCAATCCAGGGGCAGGGAACCCGCAGGAAAGACCAACACAATATTTATTTTTATAGAGCCACTCAAATTCTGCAAAGGGTTATTCCAAAGATGGGAATTTGGGGAGCGGACAAGGCGGGGGCTTTGAATAACAAGCATAACCCTAACTTGCAAAGGCGGTCAGCTTGGGGGTCACTTCCCACTTCCAGAGAAATCCCACCTGGGGTTTCCTTGCTCTGCTCTCCAGCCAAGGTGCCTGAATTAACACTCCCAATCACTGGGGAAAGGCAGATGGAAAAGCATCATAGAAACAGGGAAATTTTTTCCTGTGTGGGGTTTCACCAGTCATGGTGAAAGGCAGACATTTATACTTCCTAAAATATTTGTTAGAACCATGTTATTTGTTATTTCCTTCTATTTATTTATCCAGACAATGATCCAAAGCCCACATTGGAAAGACTCCTGTTGATTCCTGTGGCTCCTGGATCCAGCCCTCTAATGTTTGCTGCGAAGGAGAGGAAAAACGCCTTCTTCCTCAGACACTGGTGTCAGAGGCAGCTGGGGACTCCCAACTGGGTGTTCCCAGGTCACTCCATCTGTCTCCACAGTCCTCTCTCACATCCTCTGGGCTGGAAGACCACTACATGACTGAGACACCTTCCTAGGCACCGCCCACAGCTCCAGCTCAGGGATTTTAATGTCATATGGGGTTTTGCCCTATTATCCCTCCACTGAGCCCAACTTCCTGGATTTGAATCAAGAGAGAGACAAGATTCTTCCCTGTTCTCCATCCCATGGCACCTAGAAAAGAGCATTCTCACTCACAGGATCTCTGAGGAATCAAGTGGGGTCTCTGCTAACTTTCCTTATTTCCTGGTGATACAAGAACCACAATTGTGTAATGCAGCAACACTTGTACAGCCCTGGCTTCCTAATCCCCCAGGACTTGTGGAATGGGAATCCCACAGTCCCCAGTGGGAATACCTGCTCAAAGCGGGGTTTGCAGGTGTTGGCTGGGGATAAGCAGAGGGGTTTTTAACCCCTGAGCTTGTCCTGCCATTAATGAGAGTCGTGGGGTTAAATACTTTTGTCCTGAAGATGACTCTTAGGACTTCTGCTTCCTGAATTTTTTTCCATTTCACTGGGGGAATTCTGTGATTTCTGTAAGAAGAACCAGGCCCAACTGCACACACACACAAAACACTTGGTTTGCTTGGTTTTCCGAAACAGCATGGCTTATTCCTCAAATGCCAGCAGCTCTGTGCTAAGGAATCTCACTCCCAAAGTCTGAGATCAGAGCTGGGATGCGACCCAAACAGCAAACACCTCCATCTCGAGGAACAGCTGAAATTCCTCTGGAGTCAGTGCACAAGTTCACTTCCACATGCCCCATGAGAGAGCAATTTCCTTATTTCCAAAGAAAGGTGGTGGCTGGTTTTTGTCCAGGTTTCTGTGCATCTCTACCTAGCTGCAAAGACACAAACATTCCTGTCTGTGCCGAGTCCTGCTTCCCTGGGAGCTTTTATTGTTCCTAGAGGCAGGTGTTCAATTGCCAGAGGCAAGAAGGATCCTCTCAGAGCATCTAGGTGCCTGTGAGGAAGATGAGTGAGGTTGTGCTCTGCTAAAGCACAGGACCTGGCCCGGATTCAGCAAAGCACTTAAACATATGCTTAAGCCTTCTCCTTTTCCTGGGATGTGTTTGTAACCAGGGCCCCCAGCAACAACGGCCACTGGTTTGGTTTGCAGGGGGTGGTCGGAAAGTGGGGCAACCGGGAGCCTCCACAGCAGGGGAACCGGGTATCCCTACGGAGCTGGAGCAATTCCAACTCTCCCCCATTCCTCAGGGCACCCTGGTGCCAAGCAGTGCTACCCCCCAGTGACCTGAAGCCTTGAACACGCCACATCCACACCACACGGTGCTCTCCTGCTCACAAGAATGCCCTGGAACCCGCAGGGCCACATTTCTAGTAAGTAACAAGGTTTATGCCAGTGCCTAGGAAAACATCTGATGCAGCTGAGTTTGGGAGAGAGCTGGGATTGAAAGCAGCCCTGGCGCGTCCGCTGGAATAGCTCAAAGCAGTCATGCGAACAGTGCTGCCACGAAAACCATTCATCTGACAGCAGCCACAGTGCCCGAGACAAAAGCGCCGTGTTCCTTCTCCCCCCCGGCTGGGAAGGGAAGGGAAAAAGGAAGACAGGGCACCCGAGCAGGTTTGCAGACTCCCGATTAAATAAAGGCACTGAGCACATTCCTCCGTGACAAGCTAAATTACACGTTGCAGCCCCGAAAGGAACAAGTGTGTTCCGTGGCTGACCCGGCAGGAGCAGCCACTTCCCCCCACACAGGGCCTTCTTTTTCTTTCCTGCACTGGGGCACACTTTTTTCCCTGTTAGTCAAAGCTCTTCAAGCAGAAAGTTCAGCTCAGTTCCGGCAGAGCCACCGGCCCGTGAGGGTCTCCCCCCGCTCCCTCTGCAGGGAGCTTCCTCCCCATCCCTTCGGCCGTGTTTGGGAAATGAAATGACTCAGTCCCGAGCCTGGCACATCCCAGGCTCCCAGACAAACAACTTCTCAGCACAGGCACAGCTGCAGTCTTGTGGTGAGCGGCTCCAGAGCCCTTTTCCAGGCTCTCCCCAGGTCCGAGGGGCTGAGGGGCAAAGTGTCCATGGCTGGTGGGTCTCAGGGAACCATCTCAAAACCACTGCGAGGCCCAGGAGTTCTGCCGACAGCTCAGCCTCCCGCGATCCCAGTTTGGAGATCTGCTGGTACCACCTCAGATGTTCTGTGCCACCCAGAAGAGCTCTTTCCTCCCATTCCAACAGTCCCGGGACTCTCAGGAGTCCCTCGAGCAGCGCCTGGAAGCAGCTGGGAAAACCTACATTGTTACACTGGCCAGAGGACAATCACTGGAATTACCTCGGAGGCCGCGTTCCCACCATCCAGCCCACAGCTGTTCCCAGCCATTTGGAAACCAAACACTTCTGGAGGAAAATAAAACAGATCTAATCAGTTTTACCCTCTTTTTCCAGTGTGAAGTTTACACCATAACACAAGACAAGCTTGCAGGTGGACATGGGGAATGTTTCATGAGTAGTTTAATGTGTTTATAGGTATTTTTCTTATCCAGGATCTTGCAATTCTGCCAAATACATAAAACCACATATGCAGGTAGATTGTGCTCATGGCCACACACACAGCATCCTGGTTCTGAGAAACAAGAACCCCCTAAGCTTTACAAACATTGCTCAGCCAAGGCTCACAGCCTGTGGATACAGCACAGAAACAGTGTCAGCTCCATGCTGGAGGAGTTCAGGAAAATGGGACACAAGGACAGGAAATGGCCGCACCTCCGTGCCTGACTCAGTGATCCAAGACCTTGTGTGAGAGACACGAGATCTCAGCAGAGAAGGTCGAGGTGAAGGCTTCAGCTCCTGGTCTGGATTAGAGCTGGGACCTCCACTGTCCTCTCCTGCCTCCCTGGACACACGGCTGCCCTTCCTGACGGAGCCAGCTTCCCACCCAGCTGGGCTCTCTCTGCACCACACCAAGAGCAACCCCAGGATGGTGTTAGACAGGAATCACAGCAATCCTGAATCTTGCCTTTGTGTTCAACTGGATATTCGTGCCATTTTGCTTAGAAAAGCTGCTGTACAGCCTTGCTGAGGGAAGAGGAGGCCCCAGAGACACTCTGTGCCTCAGTTTCCCTCATTGCAAGACCAGAGACAGGGGAGCACCGAGTGAAGTGACGGGTGCAGGGAGAGCGGAAAAGCACAGGGAGGTCTTTGGAGTGCAGATTTCCTTGGAGGGAAGCAGGAGGGGAGGGCTGGTTGCCAGCAGCCCTTGCCCCACACGATGTCATGAACGTTCCTCGAAGGGAAGGTGCTCAGCAGGGGCTCAGGAGAGGTGGGAATCAGGTTGGAACATCGTGTGGGGGAGTCACACAAGGACAATGTGCTGCAGGGAAAGGGGAGGTCACTGCCTGGAGAGGAGGAAGGTCTCCCAGGACATGGGTGGGATCACTCCTGTGTGTGGAGGCAGCCAGGAGAGATCTTGATAGCCACTAAAACACTAAAAGGCAAATGATTAAGCACCTAAAAGGAAGCGAAGCCACAGTGTCTGCTTTGATGGCAACTGCAAAGAGACATCCCAGAAAGATCCAGGGCATGGCTCTCCTCAGACAGGATTAGGTCTATAACTTCTGAATACCACCAGGAATTGCCTCTTAGGAAACTCAACTCAAATAATATTTGCTTACATGGAACAAAAAATTATTATAAGCCAGCATTATTAGCAGGAAAAGCTTAAATCTCAACTGCAAAAAAATGAAAAGTCAGTGTGTACTGAAACAATCTATCAAAACAACAGATGTTATTCAATACTTCCTCTTTTTTTGAAATTTGCGTTTAGCTAAAACTTGACATTTTTGGGGACTCTACTGTAGTGAGTGCAACAGTCAAAAAAATCTAATCGATGTCATGACAACATGGGCAAGGGAGAGGGAAGAGAACTCTCCACTGAGAATGTCTGGAGGTAATTCTTCAGGACAGCAAGACACAAGAGAGCTCAGCTGAACACAGAAGTCTCTCCTGAGCTCAGAGCTTCAGTCTTGCTTCACTGAGCTGCAAAATCTGGGAAGAAATTACAAAAAAATAAACAAGGAACTAGCACAGGAAAACATTTGATATTTAACAACCACAAGAATCCATCCTAAGAACTTTTTGATAGTGGAGCAAAAGCTGTGTCGTTTCTCACTGTGCACCTGGCTGTCTCTGCTCCTTTCAGGAGCAGATGTCAGAGCTTCCTTTTCTGTAACATTATAATTTCCACTCAAGCACAGTTGGGCAAGTCACAGAAATAAAGCAGCAATAGAGAAAAGCAGTGTGGCATTTTTAAAGCACTCTGCCCTCCCCACTTTGGCCAGAAAGTCAAAAGATTTTGGTACATTGGGAGTTTCAATCTAGCTTCTTGACCACGCACTGAACACTTTGGAAATACATTTTTTGCAGCTGGAAAAAAAAAAAATCCAAGCTGCTTTACCTACAAAAGTCATTGGAAATCTACCTCTGGACTTAGATAGGCTTAGAATGGGGTACTGAAGGAGCTCTGCTGGAAAAGGGATACACTAATAGCCTGTGTAAGAGGCAAGAGTCATATAAACAGTTTGTGGTAATTCATTTCAATTGCTCGATTTCTTCAGCATTAAGAACAATCATGGCCAGGAAAATGCATCAACCTGAAGCACAGGAACATATCCTGGCCCCACACTGCCCTCCACTCCCTCTCCAAGCATGAGAGGCTCTGCAGCCCCTAAAAGCAGCAGGACAAGCGGGATGAGAGCAAAGATCAGCTGTGACCTGGAAAACAAGCCGGGGGCCAGCCCAGTTTTGGGGAGCAGCAGGACTGGGGTGCCTCAGCAAACTGGGGAGAAGGAGAGGGTCCAGGCCCTGCCCGAGCCCCCGCGCGGGGAAGAACCCGCCTGGCGCGCGCTGCGGCTGGAACATTCCCAGCGGGGGGTCGGATCCGAGTGCATCTCAGCTAATATGAGAACCAGGCACTTCCAAACACAGCTGTGAGCAGTGTTCCAGCCGGAGGCCACGCTCGCATGTCTGGACCTGAGTGAGGCTCGGCTCCCTCCTGAGCTTTCCCTGGAGCTGGTGTTTCCCACACAGCCATCCCACACACCCGCTGGCACAGAGCAGGGAGAGTCAGCCTGGAGCTGAGGGCACCCACTGCACTCTGGCCCTGCAGGAGGACAACTGGTGTCCAAATTCAGACTGTGGATCCAACCCCTTTGAAAATCCCATGGATAACAGTGACTGCTGCTCTCTCCAATGCTGTTCCCGAGCCCTGTGAGCAGCAATTTCCCACTCAGCATGGAAAGGGAATATCTTTTCCTCCACCCCCACAGTACCGCTATCAGCAGCCTGGCCACTATCCCTCACCTCCCTAAAGCACCTGGCTTGCCCCAGAGCACAGTCACACCATTTTCCAGAGCCACAGCCTCTCCCCTCCTTGTTTGGACACAGCTTTCACGGAGCCAGCAATAAAACCCGCAGGATCCCGCGAGTTGCTCACTTTTATCCATGTTTGATTGCAGGCACCAGCGGTTTCCCTGGGGAGAGCTTCTCCCAGCAGGCCCAGTTCTGCTTTCACTTAGAGTGAGGTAAACTGGGACTGGCTCCTCCGAATGACTCCACTGGTGCAAATGAGATCAGAATCTGGCACCACTCGTCTTACTCAAAACAAGCCTAACTGGAACCAGATAAAACCAGTTCCAGTACATAGTGGCCACCAGGATGATGATTTTTTAATTCCTGCAGGCAGAGGGGAGCTGTCTCGGATGCCAACCACACTGGCTTTTGCCTTGCTCGGTCATTCATTACCAAACTTGCATAAAAACCCAACGCAGCAGGGTTGCGCCTGAAGGATCAGGTTCCCAGCTGCTGGAGCAAGTAGGGGAAAGAGGGAAGGAGAAAGGGGATTGCTTGTTGATGGAGCTGTGGATCTTTCAGGATCCTCCCTGCTGTTTCCTTCACCCTCTAACAGCCATTTAGGTCATATCTTGGTCACAACAGCAGAAATCCAGTGACCTGAGTGCTGTTTTGCCCTTTTAATCTCTGCTTTACACTGCACCAGCCTCCTCAGTTTTGATGATATAAACCCAAAGTCCGTGTTATTTACCCACTGCGCTGACCAAAATATCTCCAACACCAAGGCATAAAAACACATGGAAGTGCAGGGCCAGAGACATTTGGAGGTAACGAAACAGTTCACAGCTCAGGTGGTATTTTCAGTTGCTACCAGGGCTGACCCAGCACTTGACATTTAGACAGTTTCTCCTGAAACTGCAGGATTGGGCCCAGTAACTACAAGGAAATCACACCGTGGCCCAAACGCTGCTCTTTTCTCCCCTCTGGATGAGTTGCCTGAGCTCTGTGTTGGAGAAGAAGGAGATTTAAACAACATCGGAGAGTGACCCAAGCAAGGGCTCGATCCTGACTCCATTTCCAAAGCTCAGCTCCAAAGGACTGCGATCTTGGCTGGGATGGGGCTATTGGCCCAGCTCAGCTGCATAACTGATGGGAATGGGTGCTGGATTGCTCCATTCCCATCATCAGTGCTAATTTCCACCCAGGAAAGCCCTGGCACCCAGTGCCCCACATCCCTCCCTCCCTAAACAGCACTGCACAAGAAACAAAGGTCTGGGGAACAGCAAGCACAGCTTCTTCCAGGGCTAACAGGAGGCGTGGAGAACAGACCATCCCTCATTCCCACTCTGAAACTCCCCCAGAAGGACAGTTTTATCAGCTGTTTGGGTTTTTAAGAGTCTGATATGAGTGGGTCTGAAGTTTCTTTGCCCTCAGCCCTGCTGGACTCCCCTTGACACTCTGCCTCTTGCTTTTTCACAAGGGATCTCTGAGCTTGGGCGACTCCAGGTGAGGGTTGTTTTTTCCAGCAGACTGCAAAACAAAAAGGGCAGGAGCAAGGCCCAAGGACAGAGCAAGAACCCAGCTCTGCCCACCCTGCAGCCACTGCAGCTATGGTACAGGAGCTGGCAGAGGTAATGCCAATGCTTTAATGGGAATAGCATGGCGTTTGGGCAGGAATAACTGCCCAGGAGTTTCCTCTGCTCCTCAGGCAGGTTTCCCATGGTTGTACCAGCCTGATCTGCCCTCGGCGATGCCAACACACACCATGGGCAAAGTTACTCCACCACAGGCAGGTCTTCAAGGCTGCTTGAGAAGTATTTTGGCTCGGGGCCCAATCCTGTACCTCCAGAGCACCCAAAAATTCCCTCCAGCTCGACTTTTCTCCTCACTCCAGAAAGATGACGGGGCACTCAGGAAGACTATGCTCATTTGCCCTTTTTGCGAGACCGCAAACTCCCCAAGCTGGAATTCGGCACAGAGAGGTCACACCAAGAGCCTGGATTCTTCTCAGGGCTGTTTGCAAACACTTGGGATTTTTATACTGAAGGCAAATTCCATATCCCATCCTGCGGTTTGCAAATTTGAGGCGAGCTGCCTTTTACGAGATGGGAGACTGCCTTCAAAAAAGCAAAAGTGCCCGTTCTGTACAGTTGGGTTTTGGCTGGTTGGACACTGCAAAGAGGACATGGAGTTCTTCAGCTAAAAATACAAGGGAAAATCTGGTTCTCTCCATATCTCCAGGATCTTTCCCGCTTGTTTCAGTAAGGTGCAGATTTTTCCAAAAAAAACCGTGCTTGGCAAAGCTGTGGTGTCCCAACTCCACAAACACTTCCCACAGGCTGAATTTTGAATTTGATGGAGTTAATCCTGTATGTAAAACTTAGATTGTGGAGCAGAGCAGAAATTTCTGGTGTCCTCATAAGAGCATATTAGTAGGGAATAAGGAATTGTCCAGATCAACTTTAATGCAGCCTGAAAGCTAGCTAAAGCATGTTCTGTTCCCAAAATATCTACCAGAAAAAAAAAAGAGAGGTCCTCACTGAGCACAAAACACAGATATTACTGTACAGAACAAAACAGAATTTCTGCAAATACTTTGACAAACTGAAATACGTTAGGGCTCAAGAAACAGGTAAGGATATATTGTATATGCCATTGTATATTCTAGTAAATGCCCAAACTATTTGTAGGATACAAGGATGTAAATTCATCCCCAGGATGAACTTTTCAAGGAACAAAAGTTTACTGCCTGGCCATCGGGAAACGTTCTTTCCTTTACGATCGCTGAAGTACCCCACGTCCGCTGGTGGGGTGGGTTAATCGATACCGAGCGTTCCCGTTCTTCCCCGTGCACTTTTGTTCGAAACCCGAAAGCGATGGGAAGGAGGGAAGGACTCTGTACCACAGATGTGCGCCCGACACAGCTCCCGGCTCCCCAGCTCCCAGCCTTATATTTAACTGGAGTTAAAGCGGCGGTGGAAATTGTTTAACGATTGCAGAGCAGATCCCCCCAAGTCCGCCTCATCTGCAACCGATTTCTGCCCGTGGCTACATCCTCATCCCCCCGGCCATCAATCACCGGCAGGGTGGGGGAAGAAGAGAAGGGAGAGGAAAAGAGGCGAATAATCTGGTGCGGGGGGGGGGGGGGGAGGGGAGGGTTCGGGGGGGGGGGGGAGGGGACACAAAGCCAAGGGCTACTCACCACCCAGGCGACGGCGGGGACATCCCATGGGGTCCGGGGCCCGGCGGTGCCCAGCGGCTGCCGCATCCCCGGCGCGGCGGGGCGGCCACGGAGGGAGGCGCGGGGCGGGCGGGAGCTGCCGCCTCCTTCCCTCCCTCCCTTCCCCCGGTGCCGGGCTCCGGGCGGTGCCGCCGGCCCCGCCGCTCGCGATTGCACAATCGGGGTGGAAAAGGAGAGGAGGAGAAAGGAGGGAGCGACGGCGGGAGGAGGGACGGAGGGAGCGGCAGTGGCAGCGCCCGCCCCGCCGGGGACCCACCGAAGACCGGGCACGGAGACCCCCGAGCAGCCCCCGCGGCCGCCCGGCTGAGAGGTGAGAGCCGGAGCCCTAACACGGAGCTCAGCCACCGACCTGGGCCGTGAAACCCCCGTAAAGAGCTAAAAACTAACGGGGAGAGCACGGTGGCGACTCCCGGCCGCAAAAACGAGGGGTCTTTGGAGAACTGTGTCCGAAGGGAATGTCCCAGCGCTTACTCCTGAAGTGACATAAACAGTCTGGATCGGGCTTGCCGAACGCTAACAATTCTTATTTAAACACAATTCTTGCTAGAGAGTGCTTGGGACAGAGTCCTGGCCACATTGAAGACTTTGGGAAAGTTCTCCAGCACCAGAGACAAAGGTTTTCTCTTTTGCTTTTCCTTTCTTTTCCCTTCCTCTTTCTCCTCTTTTTCTCTCCTTTCTTCTTCTTTCCCTCTTTCCCCTCCCCACTGAAAAACTAACAGCCAGACCCCATCCCAGTGAACCCCCATTCATGGCTACCTTTCCGGTGGGATAATTGCTGGGGACCGAAGGGCTCTGTTTCTGTATAGGCACAATTAATCTAACAGAGGCCCCCACATTAAACACTACCCAAATCAAAAGATACCTGCCCGGCTTGGCTGGGCTTTGCTGGCTCCTGTTGGTGTGAGGATTTGCATAGAGATCAGAGAAGCAGGAAGGGGAGGTGGGTAAGAAGAACCAGCTGTGCTGAGAGAAGCGTTGGTAATGCCCTGGCAGTGGTCCCTGGGGAGAGGTTTTGGGGCTGGGTGTTCACTGAAGGAGGCTGAAGGCTGCCAGTGAAGCAATGATTTCCTGCTGCTTAGTTCCTTCCAGCTCCAGGATAATAGGATTTGTAAATAAAATGGCAAAAAGCTGCTTCCAGTATCACTTTCTTACCCTGCGAGATGCAACATATTCAGCCCCCAAAATGTATGTACTGCTCAGCTCCAAAAGAGCCAACAACAGAGGAGCAGCCTCTAGCCATGACCACACATCCCATCAGGAGCCCAAAATCTGTTTTCCCAGCATCTTCACCCACTGCTGAACCCGGGCCTTTGACTAATCTCTACCTGCTCCTCATGGCCAGCATGACCAGCAGTGAGCTCCTGCTCAGGAGGCTACTTTGTTCTGAATAATATGCGTGAAATAAGAGCCATCAGAGACTTTGAGGCAAGTTCTCACGAGGAAAAATAAGATGTAGATGCAACCAGCTGCAAAGCAACAGACCATGGGCATGAATGTGAAACTCAGCCAAGTGTATCAGGTCCATGGTTCAGTATTTGCATGTTTTTTGTGGGATCCTCAGCATTGGGGTGTGATCACTCTGCAAGGAGCCGTGAGCCAGCGTGCAGTTCATTCACTGCTTCCTACTATTCATTCCTGTTCCAGTTCTGTAAACAGCATAAAAGGGAAGCAGCAATCTGTGAACTTGGGGGTGGGGAGGCAGGAGGAGCAGGGTTCAGGTTTTCTGGTGTCAGAAGGCACAGGCAGAGGTGCTGCAGGACAGAGCGGGTTGGCTGGAGGATGAAAGGAGCTGCTGAGAGGCCTTCAAAGCCCTGGGCCAACACTTTTCCCCTTCCTCCCTGACAACGTGATATCAGAGATGACCTGATGCCTGCAGATGTCATTTGTACAGACTCAGGCACAGACTAAAGGCAGCCACTCTGCAGCTGGGAGAGGATGGAAGGGAGAGCAGGGAGGCAACACCAGCAGGAAGGGAGCTGACCTCAGCAGTCACTGCCAGGGGCAGTGGCTTCAGCAGCATTTTTAGGCTCTTGCTCCACACATGACCCCCTTGTTTTCCAGCTTCCACTCTCCACAGGCTCAGGGGAGCTTCCTGCCTGCCTGCCTGCCCCTAAAACACCTATGCCAAACCACACCGATGTTTTCACGCCACATGGTATGACATGTAGTACAACACAACTCCTCACTCTCACCCTCAATGACAGCCCATTTCATCAGCTGTTGTTTTCCACCACTGGGTACACAGAGCCTTGCCCTAAACATCCACACTCCCACCCATGTCTTCCCTCTCAGCCCTTTCCCTTGCTGCTGGATCACCAAGGCTTCATGCACTGAGACAGAGCAAAAACTCACTCTCCTGTCTCCAGGATGTCCCTCCCTCACCCACTGTTGCTGTTTTGGGCCTGCTGACAAACGCCCACAGTGCCAGGGGCTCCCCACTTGTCAGGACAGGACCTAGAACTGTGGGCGTGAGAATTAAAAGGGTGTATTTGTAAGTTAAAAATAAAACTATTTCTCCTACTTTTTGGTTCCTAAATAAGCCCTGTGACATCTCCAAGATATCAGGACCTAAAACTGCTGTGTGTAAGGGCACACATGTCCCGGGTGAAGGGAGCAATGCTCATGCCAAAGCTGGGGAGTGATTTCCCATCTCCATCCCAGGCAGATGAAGGGAGGGGACAGCGGTGGCACCTAGGGCGTGAGGAGCACATCCTGCATGCAACTCTCACATCTGTGCAGCTCCAGCGCCCCTGGCCAAGGGTGAATCAGTCCTTACAAACACCATTCGTGCTTTTTGAAGATTGATCCAGCACGTGGGTACAACAGCCCTTCACTGCTCCTTCAGACCACCGGGTCAATCCACCCTGAGCGCTCCTCTGGCTCAGTAACACGCAGGGAAGTGAGGTGAGAGGAGAAGGTTCAGACACAGGAGGAATTTAGACCAGCAACCTTCATCAGGCTTTTGGTTACCAGATTTGAGCTCTGTGCTGAATCCCTTTGCACAGGCAAAGTGGAAAGGCATGAGTCCTAGTGGGAATTTGGCTAGTTGGCTTGGACTGCAAAGTCCAGCTTGCCTGGTCTAGGGACAGACCTGGCTGGCAGGGACTGTGCTCGGTAGTAAAGGAAAAGGATTCATCAGAGAGCTCATTAGAAAACATCTGGGGTCAGCAAATGACCTGGAATGCGACTCGGCAGCAGGGCGCTCCTCTTTTCCCGAGTCCCGGGAATGCAGCTCCCGCAGGGTACGACTCAAGCCAGCTGTTTCCTCTAATCCCATCAGCCTTCCCTTCCACAGGGGGTCGAAGGAGAAAGTCCCGTTCCCTCCCCTTGGTGACTGGGATTAGTGGTTTCTCTGTAGTGCCGTGCCAATGCATTTTAGGGCCCTGGGGCAGCAGTAAAAAACGTACCCCTCCCATCCCCGAGCAAGTCCAAGTGTGTTTAATCGTTTTATTTTCTACCTTGCCCAGTCATTCCCTGCTCCCAGGCACTCCCAGGCCCCTCCGTCCCTCCCTCTCTCGCTTCCCCAGCAACTCAGATCATGCACAATCCTTCTCCTATTCAGTTCATGTCTGCAGGGGCAGTTTCGAGCGGGGAGGGCTGGGAAGAACCTGTTGGGCTCCATTTGCAGGTGCCCTCTTCCCTATGAGTTCAAACAGCTTTTTTTCCTTTCTACTTCAAAAATAACCAGTTTCCTCCAACTCCATTACAACCAGCTAAATTCCTTCTGATAACTATCTTATTTTCTGCTGCACAACTTCCCCCTGCTGCAATCACTCATATTAATTATTTTTCTTGCAGCACTGCCTGAGGGCCCCAGCCAAGCTCAGGCCTTGTCACAATAGGTGCTTGTATGTGTTTAAAGACAGTCCTGGCACTGAAGCTCCTACAAACTGACAACCAGCAGGACAAACTTAGAACATCCACATGTGTGCAGGGAACATTTTGCACATCACTGAAAGGAAACCAGCACCCACCTGCAACGGGGTGACTCACGGAGCAATGTAGCACTGCTCTTGCATGGAAAGAGCCTCATGCACAAACCCTCTGGCCTTGAAGAAAAGCACCCAATATCAAAAGTCTGAAAGGGCAAATTTTTGAAGGTCCTGCTATAGTAAGAGGCAGCATTTTTTAAAATTAGGATAACAAAATACATATATATATATGTATTTTTTATCAGATTAACTTCTCTGCTCCCAGTACCCCACCTTCCAGAAGACAAATGCAAATATAATTCTTAAAGTGATAATGTGATTTTCATAGTTTAGAGGGTGTGGTTCATAAAATCAGAAATGTGGGCCCCTGAGAAATCTGCTTTCATTGCCTTTCTTCCTCCTGCCTTGGAGCAGGACTGTGATTTTTGAGACTGCTATTGCAGCTGATGAGGAATGGAATGAAACTGGCCAGGAGTTCCCAGCTTGTCACTGCTTTCCTGAACATGCTGAGACATCTGTGTTAGACCAACTTTTCATCGTTGAGGTTTTAATTTCGGTAGCAGAGGCTGCAGTGGCTGCTCCAATGTGCAACAAGAGTTAAATGTGAAGCCTCAGTGAAATACTTGTGTGCTCATCCGGTGCTTGGAGGAGTCACAGTGACCTTCCCTCCATCTGCCAGCCCACCTCTATTTATACCTAATATGGATATAAAATCCATGACTTTGCAGATAGTAAACTAGAGCCTCCCACAAACATTGTCGCCTGCGAGGATGCTCCCAGCGATTTAAAGGAATTATTTCTCATGCCTTAAAAGACCCCAGTGAACTCACTTTCCCTCGGTCTGATGTGGTACAAAGAGCAGGACTATGTGGCCATTCCAGTGCACCTCAAGTCCTATCCCATTCCCACAGCTCCAGCCCCAGGCTTCCATCCACTATCCAAAGATACATTTATTGACATATGAAATACACCATCTCTCGACAGATTCTCTACGAAACCGTCATCTTCAGGGAGAATTAAACAAAAAATGGGCCCTGTGCCTGGAAAAAGGAGGAGGGGAAGTGCTCACCATCAGCCATCCCTCAAACAAACCCCAAGGAAAACAAGCTAAAAGGGAGGAACTGAAGAACAAAGCAGCAATGATCAGCACAGAAATAGGTTGTCTTCCATCTGAGATCCACGCCAAGGACATCTTCAGGGAGTGTCTAG